TCCAAAATGGTCATGGCCAATGATTTCCATGTCCCAGACAAATTCCAGGCAAAAAATATGTTTATTATTGAGCTTCAAAAAACAATTCATAGGAATACTATATATAGAATAACATTTAAAAGTATGTAGATTAATATTGTAGTGATTATTAGGCTATTTCAAATGAATGAGGTCCCATCAATAGACTATTAAAATATATAGAAATATATATATTACTCAAACCTAGAGTTTAACTCTTGTCTCCTACTTCCTTCAGCTTTAGCCCACATTTTCTCAGATACAATGAAACTGGCTGGACTCCACATATTTTATATTGCTGTGAAAGGTTCACTTCTGTATCTATACCGCTTTGTCTGTGGGTGATATTAACTAAATAACAGATGAATAATTAAAGTCTTGACTATCCATTGGTTAGCAGATTGTTGTAGATCTGGGCATTATCTTATTCTTACAGCAGTGTTGTGTTGAGACATTCATGTAAAGTAAATAAAATGATGTTGATGATGGCTTAATGTATGTTTATGATACTGTGAGTCGTCCACAGCTGCTGTGAGCCTTCTGGGAATATGTATTTATGTTCAGGTCAACAACATCAACATGGTCCAGATGTGATCATCCTTTAGGAGGAAGCAGTGAAGTGATCTGTGAGTGATGTTCCTGTAGTCAATCACATGTGTTTCTACTGTAAGTATTGAAATAGTGCCGTAAGTGTTTTGTCTTCAATAGTTACTGAATAAACACAAAACATACTGGTCCAAAAGATTCCTAAATGTAGAAACTTGGACAAAATGATTTCCAGGGTGTCCGCGGGGTCTTAACAAGTATTAAACGTTGATAAATCAATTAAGCAAAAATGAAGGCTATTAAAAAGTATTAAAAAGTATTAAACGGCATTTTCCAAGGTATTACATTTTGTAGTTAGTTTTCAATAAGTATATAAATTGTCCAAAGAGGTTGTATTCTACAGTCTGCCTGAATGTAATCATTGCGTAGGTGTGTAGTGTGATTCTGTGTAGTTTATTTATGGCATCCCGTTGGGTTTGACGTCATCTGAACAGGACATCGCGCGCTCTGCTTGATAGCGCGCGATGGCCCGTTTACGCCGGTTGCTAAATAACATGGTTATGGGGAAATGCAAGTCTGCGTCCAAATGGTTGGAAGATAAGGAGGAAGGACAATCAATACTGTATATAGTAAATGTGAGGTAAAGTGTGTCGCCAAGGTAACCGGTTAGAACTCCAAGTGCCGATGAGGTCTTAAAATGTATGGAAAGGGTCTTAAAAAAGGTTTGAAAAGGTTTTACATCTGACTTCAGGATTCATGCATATACCCTGATTTTGTTACTTGCATATTTTTGAGTTATGCTCATTTTTAATACGCTGCTCAGAAAAGTGAGCACTTCACAGAAACAAGAAAAATTAACTTTGTTCAAAAAAGGTTTGTAGCGCTAAGGAATATTCATGCTTTTACATTTAGAAATACTTTGGATCAATGTGTTGTGTCTTTATTTAACACCATTTGATGATATTTAGTTATTTTTTACGATAGGATATCAAAACCTTTTCTCCTGGGTTGTAGAAATCCCATCACAACAAGAACATGTAGAAAGTAGAAACACATGTGATTGATTACAGGAAGATAACTCAGAGATCACTTCACTGCTTCCTCCTGAAGGATGATCACATCTGGACCATGTTGATGACCTGAACATAAATACATGTTCCCAGCAGGGAGCATCTGTCCGGCCTCCGTCGGGACAGCAGCGCTAACGCTAACAGACAGATAGCTCGTTAGCATGATAGCATGACCCCGGGGAAAGAGCTATTTACGGATTTAGCATGTTAGCACTGCACCAAGGACACACAACACACACACACACACACACACACACACACACACACACACACACACACACACACGCACACACACACACACACACGCACACACACACACACACACACACACACACACACACACGCACACACACACACACACACACACACACACACACACACACACCACACACCAGTCTTTGTTAACTACAAAGGGCATTTTCTACTTTATTCTACAGAAACCACACAGGGTTACACAAATGACACAAAACACACTAGATACAAAATGAATACAGGAACATCCCACAAAAAAACTATTTCTTTAGCCTTTTTTTAATGTTAATTTGTTTTTACAACACATGGTGAATTGTGTATATTTGCATTAATGATCAGCCGATTCCATCATCAATGTGTTATTGTCTCAAAGATATGACCTTCTTTGTAGCTCCAACGTCAGGACACTTTTGACATGATATCTGAAAAGACACCTGCAGTAAAGACAATCTGAAATATGACAGTTACAGCACTGTGTTGTGATTTGTGATGATGTTTAGACTTGTATTACTTATTCTCAAAGGACATTAAGCCTTAAAGAGGGGTTTGTTTGGTTGTGAAAGTTAGAGTGACAGGTTCACATCTTTTATCCAGAGATTTTCTGAATGATAACATGTTTTTATATTCCAAAACGAGATCTCTGCGTAAAATAAGCTGGTGGTTCTACAGAGTTGCGATCCTGGAGCAATGAGAATACTTGGTCTTAATCCTGCTGCGGGAGGAGTCATTTGATTCGGCACGAGGAGCCTTTTGTGTGGAAACAGCAAACTGCAGTTTATCAGCAGCAGATAAGTGAGGCGCTGAAATCACGTCTCCTCCGTGGCGAGGAGATAACACTCTCATGGTGTACAGATACAATCATAAACGCTGCAAATGAAGGAGACAAAAGAAAGAAAAATTACTTAAAGCTGCTATGTTTTGGTTCATTAAGTAACACATATATTCCAAAAAGCACATTGTTTTGATTAAACATTATGTGTATCTTTTGTTGCTGAACCAGTGTTAATAATTGTAAAGACTACAGTAATGTCCAAAAGTAACATGGCCTCTACCTTTAAAGGTCCCATGTCATGGCCATTTCTACTGATCATATTTCCATTGTTGAGGTATACTAGAATAGATTTACATTGTGCAATTTTCCAAACTCACATTGGTTTCTCATACAGCATCTCTGTATAGTATGTGTATTCACTCTCTGTCCTAAACGCCTTGTTGGAGCTCCTGCTCCCCCCCCTCCCTGTGAGCCCAGTGTGCTCTGATTGGTCGGGACGTTGCGAGGCTCGTTGCTCGAGGAGCGGACAGGTTTCCGGGTCGGCGATACAGCGAGAACAAGCGAAACTCATCCTGAGCACACACAAACACTCACAGCCGAAGTAAAAACAATAAGTGTGGCTTGATATTGAGTAAGAAAAGGTTTATAACGCTGTGAGAATGGGTCTGCGGAGAGCATTTCTCCACCATCCCAACTCGTCTATTACCAGCGTTCAGGGAGCTCTATGCAAGTCAATGGGGACTCCCTGATAGTTAGCCAAGGGATCCTGGTGTGTGAGGTGCTCCACTGATTGGTCCATTTGGGCCAATCCGGTCATTTGTAGTTGATTTGGGTGTTCAGGAAGCAAACAATGGAAAAAGAGAAATCCCCAACGAGGCGTTCTGGGGCAGCATAGACAGGTCTTCTCTGTGTTAGAGTTTTACTCGCTACAGGGTGTACTTTGAGGGTTTGTGACTCTGCAGACCGTTTACATGCAGAACAACCTTCATAACACACAAGGGGACGGGTAATAACCGGAAAAGCATGACATGGGACCTTTAAAGGGTTGTTAATCATCTGATTTCTTGATGATGATGTTCTTATTTTCTTCAATTATTAATAACAACCAATCAATATTTCAAAGTTTTTGTGTTTTCATTCATGAATTACACATTTTTCTTGGATTTATTTACACTCCTGAGACTTCTTAATTTGATAAAAAATACTTTAAAATAAATTCAATCAAATATTATTTTTATATTTTTACCTTACCTTGATTATAATGATGTTATTTGAAACCTTTGGGATATTGGAAGAGCTCCACTGAATATATCACATATTTATAGTAGATTTTACACATTTCCGTGCAGAAATGTTACATACTGTATGAATCCCTTAAATCTGTACATACGTTGATGTTAACATTTCTGTTCTGCTTCTATTCATATCGAACTGTTTCTTTGAGGCTCTTTGTCTCTCTACTGTCAGTCTGCATGAACCATTGCACACCATTAGTTCTCCATGTACAAAACAAACCCTCCATACAAAATAATACCTGACTTTTACAAAAAGAACAAAACACTCTCCCATAAAGCGCAGTGTGTAGACCTGTGTGTCAGGAGATTACACACTTTAGAGCGTGTGTGAACTATATTTCACTTTTGGTTTGTTTGCTGACCTGGAATTCAGGGCGGACAAAGATGAACTGGAGCTTGAAAAACAAGACAGACAACAAGACAAGGGAAAGTATTGGATGGAGGAAAATAAAGGGAGAGGACAGAAGGTGAAGGAGAGGCGAGGGGGGGGGGAGAGAGGGATGCAAACTGACAGACAGAGAGGCTCATGGGGGAAATCAAAATAGCATTAGTCAAACATACAGTATACACACACAAGTATAATATCATCATACACTGGAATAATGTTGACACTATGTTCAGGAAGGAATTTGAGTAACTGGGATTAGTCTATAAATAAATAAATACGTTTATCATTAATGGAGTCATTTAAGCATTTTTTCAGTTATGTTTAACGGAGTAATAAATACTAAGTCTTTGTTTCCTATATAATCAAAAATGTGTTGGAAACAATAATACATTTTCAGTCAATCGACACAAAAATAATCACAACATATTTGGAAAATGGAAAGTAATTGTCCAAACAATCTGAAGATGTGATGCTTCTCTGTGTTAAATAGCATATAGTAGTTGTTACTACCTTGTACAGTTGTCAGCATATTATGGACTTAAACAATAAGTAGGGAAAACACAAACCGATAATTGATCAAATAATTAAAAGTAGCAGTGCCAAACAAAAAGCTGTTGATGAAACAATGTTCTAACCTCCTCTCCTCCTTCTTCTCCCAGTCTGCTCCCAGTTCTCTAAAGGAGTGTACGCCATCATGGGTCTGTACGACCGGCGGACGGTGAACATGCTGATGTCGTTCTGCGGCTCTCTGCACGTGTGCTTCGTCACGCCCTCCTTCCCCGTCACCACCAACAACCAGTTCGTCCTCCAGCTGAGGCCCCCGCTGCAGGAGCCCATCATGGCCCTGCTGGAGGCCTTCGGCTGGAGCCGCTTCGTCTACATGTACAGCCCCGACTCAGGTGAGACCTTTACCTGAGAGGTTCAGAGATGGTAAAAGTACACACATCCTTTACTCATGTAGAAGTACACATACTCGTGTTTAAAAATACTCTGGTCAAAGTAGAAGTACTGACTAAACTTCTTTACTCAAGTGAAAGTAAAGAAGTATGGGCTTTGAAATGTACTTCAGTAAAAAGTACCGATAACTAGCAGCTGTTTTAAAGAGTACCTGACCTCCCTTTATATTAATAGAACAATAATGTCATTGTTAGCTAATGAATGTTTCCATGCTGAACAACGGCAACATGACAACGTTTTCATTGGTCCCTCTTCTTTAGAGAAGACCAGGAAATGATGGATACACGGATCGTGTTCAAATCAATAGGCACGCAATGACTCTAAATAATAATGATCACGCCACCAAACACACATTCAAACTAAAGGAACCAGCCTGTTTGGGAAATGTGAGAAGTAGAAAGTACAGGTATTTGTGTTCAACATGTAAGAAGTAGAAAGTACAGGTATTTGGGTTCAACATGTAAGAAGTAGAAAGTACAGGTATTTGGGTTCAACATGTAAGAAGTAGAAAGTACAGGTATTTGTGTTCAACATGTAAGAAGTAGAAAGTACAGGTATTTGTGTTCAACATGTAAGAAGTAGAAAGTACAGGTATTTGGGTTCAAAATGTAAGAAGTAGAAAGTACAGGTATTTGAGTTCAACATGTAAGAAGTAGAAAGTACAGGTTTTTGTGTTCAAAATGTAAGAAGTAGAAAGTACAGGTATTTGTGTTCAAAATGTAAGAAGTAGAAAGTACAGGTATTTGGGTTCAAAATGTAAGAAGTAGAAAGTACAGGTATTTGGGTTCAAAATGTAAGAAGTAGAAAGTACAGGTATTTGGGTTCAACATGTAAGAAGTAGAAAGTACAGGTATTTGGGTTCAAAATGTAAGAAGTAGAAAGTACAGGTATTTGGGTTCAAAATGTAAGAAGTAGAAAGTACAGGTATTTGTGTTCAACATGTAAGAAGTAGAAAGTACAGGTATTTGTGTTCAAAATGTAAGAAGTAGAAAGTACAGGTATTTGTGTTCAACATGTAAGAAGTAGAAAGTACAGGTATTTGTGTTCAACATGTAAGAAGTAGAAAGTACAGGTATTTGTGTTCAACATGTAAGAAGTCAAAGTAGAAAGTCGTCAGAAAAATAAGAAGTGGAGTAAAGTACTGATACCAGAAACATGTACTTAAAGTAACAAAGTATTTGTACTCCAATACTTCCCACCTCTAGAGAGGTTACTTTACCTTCTAAAGGAGTATAGAAGAAAAGGAGGTGACAAGAGGAGCTTGTTGTAATATTTTGACACATTTACTCCCAAGTTTTATTTTCAGCAGATATGGAAACACATAAAAACATGTCACGAGGGTGTCAGCTTTTTACCTCGACTCCCCATGCATCATTTTACAGGGAAAACTCTCAGACTTCCACAGCTCGTCACTCACTGTGGTCTCTAACTGCAGAGACAGAATCCACATTCAGAGACACAAACTGTGGCTGTGAGTTTATCTGAAGTCCTGCAGTGAAACAGAATTAGCAGCAGAGCAGTTTAATCTTATTGTCTTCTCCATCTGCCCAGAAACCAATGGTGGAATTAGTTCTAAAATAACACTGTGTAACTGTGTGTCTACTGTTATCTGCAGAGGAGAAGTGACGTGTTTTACTAAAGGGGTTTTAAAACGTTCCATAAATCAGAAAATGCTGCAATAAAAAGTTATGTTCTGCATGTCTTAGGAATAAAGTGTGTGTGTGTGAATGGTGTGTGTACTGTACAGCTTCAGAATATAGACAGGAATGAAAGTGGACAGTTTGGTGTGTGTGTAAGATTTTTCCACTGAGAGAGAAGGAGACAACATTTCGAGGTAAAGAAATAGGAGCACTGTAAATCTGACAAAAGGTTTGACTATTTAGACTAAAAAAGGTTCAAATATTTCAAAAAAATGAATTCAAGAAATGATATTAAACTAAATGTAATAGTTGGAGGAAAAGGTCATAGCAATGCTGAGGTAGGAGAGAAAAACAACGGTTATAATATAGAAACAGATAGTTTTAAGGTCACACAAAAGTGTGTTCAAAGGAAGAGAGTCCTGAGTAGAGTTCTGAGGAAACGTTCTTTAAAGCCAAACATGATGAAAACACTGCAGGTGAATACAAACCGATATCACCACGAGACGTCCGCTGACACTGACACGAGTCTGTTTCTCATCAAGCTTTCTGACGTGTTATGTTAAAAAATGCACAAACATGCAGATAAACTCATGTGGATTTTGACACTAGTCTGAAAAAGGCCATGAGACAGCCCAATATCTCCAGATGTCTCCGTGCATTAGAAGGATTTTAAACACTTGCACAGAGGGAGTATTTTTGCATGTATGCGGCACTACCTTTTACTCAACCTGACTCATCCCACAATAATCGCTCTGTTGCCATGGATACAGCCTGCAGCACAGTGTGCAATGACTGCTGCACACATACAGTGGAGTTACAGTGAAGTACAGTACTCCTCTTCCTCTCTGATCACTTCATCCACATGTTGCTTCCTTTTTTCTCTTCATAAGGTTCATGGAAACCCCACACAACTCAGCTTCAGATATAAAAACACAAATGTTCCTGTAAACATGCAGAAACATCTCCAGCAACTTGACAACTCATGCAGCATTTAGAGAACATTCAGCAACTTGAGGAGACATGCGCAGCGTTTACTAAAAGCTGCAGAAACCAGACGCTGCAAGAAGCTCAGAACACAACGGAGACCAGGGGACACTAAAGAGTGACGCACACGGCTGGGAGACCAGGGGACACTAAAGAGTGAAGCACACAGCTGGAGACCAGGGGACACTAAAGAGTGACGCACACAGCTGGAGACCAGGGGACACTAAAGAGTGACACACACAGCTGGGAGACCAGGGGACACTAAAGAGTGACGCACACAGCTGGAGACCAGGGGACACTAAAGAGTGACGCACACAGCTGGAGACCAGGGGACACTAAATAGTGACGCACACAGCTGGGAGACCAGGGGACACTAAAGAGTGACGCACACAGCTGGGGGACCAGGGGACACTAAAGAGTGATGCACACAGCTGGAGACCAGGGGACACTAAAGAGTGACGCACACAGCTGGGGGACCAGGGGACACTAAAGAGTGACGCACACAGCTGGAGACCAGGGGACACTAAATAGTGACGCACACAGCTGGGGGACCAGGGGACACTAAAGAGTGACGCACACAGCTGGGAGACCAGGGGACACTAAAGAGTGAAGCACACAGCTGGGAGACCAGGGGACACTAAAGAGTGACGCACACAGCAGGGAGAACAGGGGACACTAAAGTGTGACGCACACAGCTGGGAGACCAGGGGACACTAAAGAGTGACGCACACAGCTGGGAGACCAGGGGACACTAAAGAGTGACGCACACAGCTGGGAGACCAGGGGACACTAAAGAGTGACGCACACAGCTGGGAGACCAGGGGACACTAAAGAGTGACGCACACAGCTGGGAGACCAGGGGACACTAAAGAGTGACGCACAAAGCTGGGAGACCAGGGGACACTAAAGAGTGACGCACAAAGCTGGGAGACCAGGGGACACTAAAGAGTGACGCACACAGCTGGAGACCAGGGGACACTAAAGGGTGACGCACACAGTTGGAGACCAGGGGACACTAAAGAGTGACGCACACAGCTGGAGACCAGGGGACACTAAAGAGTGACGCACACAGCTGGAGACCAGGGGACACTAAAGAGTGACGCACACAGCTGGAGACCAGGGGACACTAAAGAGTGACGCACACAGCTGGAGACCAGGGGACACTAAAGAGTGACGCACACAGCTGGAGACCAGGGGACACTAAAGAGTGACGCACACAGCTGGAGACCAGGGGACACTAAAGAGTGACGCACACAGCTGGAGACCAGGGGACACTAAAGAGTGACGCACACAGCTGGAGACCAGGGGACACTAAAGAGTGACGCACACAGCTGGAGACCAGGGGACACTAAAGAGTGACGCACACAGCTGGAGACCAGGGGACACTAAAGAGTGACGCACACAGCTGGAGACCAGGGGACACTAAAGAGTGACGCACACAGCTGGAGACCAGGGGACACTGAGCTTCTTGCAGCGTTTGGTTCAGTAAAGCTCAAGTTGCTGAAGATGTGTCTTCATTTGCACAGTTTGGTTCAGTGCGTTTTTTAATTTGCAAACCAAGGTGAACCCTGAATCATTGATGATATCAATGAACCTCCTCCTGTGGTGAGCCTTCAACCTTTCCTCTTTTAACCTATAGGTTGTTGTTTAATATTCATAAGGGTTTAAATAAACAATTTAGTATTATTTTCCGTCTTTGCTGAGAGAGAGTTTTGTGTTAAAGGGCCCATGTCATGGCCATTTCCACTGATCATAATTACATTGTTGAGGTATACTAAAATAGATTTATACTGTGCAATTTTCCAAACTCACATTGGTTTCGCATACAGCATCTCTGTCAAGCATGTGTATTCAGCAGTATTCACTTTCTCCACTAAACGACTCGTTGGAGCTCTTGCCCCCCCCTCCCTGTGAGCCTAGTGTGCTCCGATTGGTCAGCTCGGCCACTTGTTCTGATTAGTCAACCACCAGAGAGGCTGCGCCCATGTCAGTGCTTTTCCCGGCTGCTCTCAGCGTAACATCAGTCTTATCATGGCGTCGGTACAGCGGTATATTTTATATACATATATATTTTTAACTGTTGTTATAGAAGAGTGTGACGGCCCCAGGGCCTTTGTCTTACGATGGGGTGGAGCTGAAGAGGCTAATCAGCACGATCACGGACACCTCCGGACACAGTCTCTCTCCAAAGCGGCTGCAGGAAGACTAACTCTGCGATCCTCTCAACCACCTGTCTCTGCATTTACCACAATAAATGTGCCGTGGTTTTGTAAACTCGTGTATGTCTCCTTGTCTTTCCGTTGTGGCCTACGAGCTAC